TCTCTGCTTAAGGCGCATCCTGTGTTACCTCCACATAGAGCTCACTAATGTAAATGTATTTGCTGTGTGTGTGTGTGTGTGTGTGTGTGTGTGTGTGTGTGCGCGCACACACAGAGGTGGTAGTTAGTGCTACTATCTGCCTGTCAAAGAGCACTCAGCAGACATGCTGAGTGAATATAGGTATTCAGTCAGCATGCTAATGTATTGACAGCTTGGTTGTATTTATGTATTCATCTTTCTCTCTCTTTGATTGTCTAATCTCCTCTCTATCTAATTCCTGCCTTTACTTTGAGGAGAAAATAATCTTTTTATGTTGACTCTAAGGTCTTTCGATAATTTACAAATATTATATTCATTACCGACAGATACATAGACACAAAGATTTCTAAAATCCTGCAGCAAAACAGTCTCAAAGATGACATTTGACTTGAGATGGTAGACGTGTTTTGCATTGATCTTATTTAAATTAAGGCCTCACATCTTTTTTCATGAAAACGTTTAGTAGACTTTAGTGAATATTTAGTAGTTCAAAACTCAACATTTCTTCATGTACTTTTGAGTATTTATTTGTCTGCAAGGCACATTGCTCATGCAGTTAAGCTGGTTTTGTGTGACAAGATGTTTTTTTTTATAGTAGAGCAACTGTTGACATGTAAGCAAAGCTCCTTCTCTTGGTGTTTTCTTATCCTCTTATATTCCTGTTACTTTCACTATATCCTTGTCATTCCCTACCACTACACTACACTACACACTTGACAAATAATAGTCTGGCATCAATAATGCAGTGGCACAACAGTGGCTGAATAAAGAAGAGCCGCCAGGAATGCAAATAGTAACAAATTAGATGAAAAGAGAAAGCAGGGATGGGTGGATGTTGGGATGCTGCAGAGAGGTGGAGGTCGGGAATCGCAGAAGACAGATGAGAACACTTGGAGCTCAAAGACGGAGCTTCACATTTTCTGAAAATTAAAGTGAGCCATCATGAGGAAAAACAGCAAAAGAAAATTGTCAGCATCAAAAGCAAATCCATGCATCATAATTACAAATCATTAAACCCTTCACATCATCAAAATCCTAATACAGACATATACCTGTCAGATGCTGATGGTTTGAATCCATCTAAAGCAATCTCCTTCCATCCTGAACCTCTAAAGCATCAACATGAACATGACCCTGTTAAAGGGCTTTCTGCAGCCAGCAAAAAATTCTGTTCCTGTCAGCAGATCTAAAATGCCCCTGTGGTATCTGTGAATATGGGGTCATGTTGGGATTGGTTTTCTCCAAAGCAAGGTGCACAATATGCCTGTTTTCTTTGCCTGATTCATATAATTTAATCAAAATAAAAGAACTGGGACTACTTTCTCCTAGTTAGTATTTGGTCTAATACTGAAGAGACATTGTCAAAAAATTTTTGCATGGGTTATCTTTAAGACGACAACTTTAATTTAGATTTCAGACTTTATAGTAAAGTCCAGTGGAATTTTGAAATCTCCCTTCTTTCAAACCCATTTACAAAATGTAATAGCCTTTCATAAATATGCCTTTACAGATTTTCACAAGATAGATGGGCCTATTTCTGCTGCTTTACTGTAAGCAATCAAACACTGCTATTGCATGATGATATTTCCAATAAATACCGAAATTAGGAAATTAAAACTCAAATAAAATCTAGGAAGTACAAGTATGTCCCACGGGTTCAGTGTTCACATGCAATGTTTTGACAGTGAAAGTAACAAGTGTAAGTACGAGGGGACGCAAACTGAGCCGCAGTGTTGGTCTCTCTTTAGTACAGTACAGTCATGTCCCCCTCAGGATGGTTATCTCTTTTATCTAGCGCCACCAACAGGTCAACATTTCCATTATTATATTTTATCTATCACCAAATACCTGCCAGTTTATCTCTACTTTGTGTTAAGTGCCAATGTTAGCTTTCTAACACACTAAACTAAGATGATTAACATGGTAAGAGAATTTTAGCATGCAAACGTTATCATTTGGCTTTTTAAACCTTTGGTAGTGACATTGTTCCCTAAAAGGTAGCAGCAAAATATCAAGCTTAATCAACAGAGGTGAAACAAATGTCAAAGTCCCACTAGTTCAAAAAGATCACATGTCTCTTGTAATTATGTTTTTTCAGTGTCTGTTTAAGCTCAGAGGACACTGAAAAATAAAGTTAAAAGAGATTTTCTGATAGATGCGAATGTGCAAACTCTTTTGATCTAGTCCCAAAAAGACCCTAGCACTGGGAGTGGAAACTGATATTGTGTTTTGACAGGGAGTGGTCAGGAATATTAGATTTATGAAACTATAATGAATAAATCTGCACAGTTTAATATTTTCCATTGGTAAGGAGTTAGAGAAGCGGAGTCAAAGTGGAGGTATATGAGGTAAGATGAGGACAGTGAGGACGGAAGAGCAAGAGAGACCTTGGCAGCTAAATTAGAAAGATGAATAGAAACTACTCGATGTCACACTAATGTTATAATTCGTCATTAATTGTTCCATAAATTGTGTTTTATTTAATTCAAACTTTAATGTCTTGTGCAGCTGTTGAACTATTATCTGGCCATGCTTTTATAAACTCTACATAATCAACGGGAATGTTAAGTGCAGTGTAAGTGGGGACGGTCACAAACACAAACAGTGTAAATAATTGTACAGACATATAACTTTTACTCCACAGGCAGTCAGCCAGCAGCTAAATGAAAGTGGCAATTCATTCTGCCTGTCTGGCCGAGTGCACATACAAATCCTGACAAAGCTGATGGAAAGAAAAAAACAACTGTCATTATTAATAACACTCGCAATGCATCCTGGGATATAGTTTGTTTCATTTTTGTTTTTTATTATCAGGCATTGAATCGTAAAGTTCAGATCTGCTCTTGGTCATATAGAAAATAAGGTCTAAAGACAGCGCACTAACTATAAAGATCAGACGCTGTGTGGAAAGGGGGGCCGGGAAAACCTGGGGGAATGTCTGTCTTCTCAGACTCAAACAGTTAGAGTCTACGCTTTACATCAAACATCCCTGGAGATTCCTGGTTGTAGGTGTCAAGTGTCAACCCTATTAGTTAATTTCCCAGCACGAATAACCTGTGTGTGTGTGTAAGGATACTGAAGCTTGGAAAAGAAAGAATGTTGAATATTTTCCTGCTGTTTTTCTTAAATTAGCAGATCCTAGTCTCTGCAAAAAGTTTGCTGTTAATTCGTCTTAATCCTTCACAACAGACTGATGCCATGGTCATAATAAGAGAAAAAATTACAGGGAGATTTATAAATCTTTTAAGACTTCACCAGGCCGTAAACACTTCAAAACTGTATTTATCTTCCTGAAAATATCACTTTAAAAGTAACACATGCACAGTTTAGGCGTTTTCATCTTTGTGTGATTCAGATTTGGACTGTTCCTAATGTCATTACTGGGCCCTGTGCAGTCTTTTATGTCATTTACCCTTTCTAGATTTACAATTGCCATGTATTACTTCCTGCAGTGTAATCAGTGGATTCTGTGCTCTGATAACTTTTATCTTCCAAAACCTCTGTTGTGCTGTTGCCTATTCAAGCTCTCTTCCTCTGCCTGTACTGTGTCTGTTAACATTGATGGTTTATCTCTCCTGTTGGGATTAGTCTTATTTATGATAGCTTACATATTGTAGCTTCAATCATAAATGAAGGTTTGTTTGTTTGTTTGTTTGTTAAATTTTTTTGAAAAGGGCTGTAGTCTCTGAGATTCAGACCCAGATATGCCTGTGAACGCCTTTGTCAGAATCTTTCCCATCTCTTCATTCCATTCTAAATAATGTGAACGCAGCATAACACATATGGACAAACACATTTTAATTCACATTTACATCTGCAGGCAGTTTAAATTTACCAGTTGTGTTTTGAACCTGCATTTTCAACAGCCACTGGACTGAGCAGGGTTTTATTCACATCTTAAACTATTGCTCAGTGGTTCCTCACTGCAGTTAACGGATTGAGAGCAAAAGCTTTGTCGAGCTGAAACAGTAAATCAATTAATTGACAGCTAATTTGTCATTTTTCATGTAAGAATGTAAAATACTTCACTGGCTCCAGCTTCTCAAATGTACTTTTGTCATTATATGATAATGAACTGAATATCTGCGGTCTGGATCAGTCAGTATCTCATCTTGTGATCTGGAAAACTTTTTTTTTTGACATTTTAAAGATAAAGCAACAAATTATAATCAGTGGTGTAATTTAGAATGAAAATAATTGAGTTGAAGCCCTAAAGCCATGTAGGTGAGGCTTTGACATTATCACTGTCGCTCTGGAAGGGGCAGTGTGTGTTTGTGTGTGTACTGTAGGTGAGGTTAGGTTTCGGTCAAGGTTAAGATAAGGGTTATGTATAGTTAGGTTTGAGGTCTGAGTAAATTTTCGAGCAATTAATGTCAAGTTTATGTTGTCTTAAGTCTACGTGTGTGTGTGTGTGTGTGTGTGTGTGTGTGTGTGTGTGTGTGTGTGTGTGTGTGTGTGTGTGTGTGTGTAGACATTCTCCATATAATCAGGGTGTTTTGTGATGGTTGATAAAAAATGGTGTGACTCACAGGTCGTCTGCAGCAGTGTTAGTGAATCATTTCGTGGCTTTAATGAACAGCTCATTAGATGGAAACCTCGTTAGTCATCTTTCGAAAGGGAGCAAATGATCCAGGATGAGGAGAAGAATTTGGTGCATCTATTTAATTGAAGGTAGGAAGTCAGGGAACATTCGAAGATGCGCCTTTGGTTTCGGCTGCATGAGAAAATATCACCATCTTCATTACAGCAGCTCTATAAATATAACCGTCCACGGGAAACGGCTCCTAACCTCAATATGACCCTGAATATGGAATTTAGTTTGAAAGTAATGTATTTCTAAGGACGTCCTGTGTTTGTGTAAGTGCAAACCAGGAATATTTTCTTATTTCACTGCATTATAAGTGGTCACATAGCGGAAAGTGCTGTATCATAACATGATAACATTTCTCTCCCTTTTACAGATATGTGACAAAGAATGGCATTATTACGTGATCAACGTGGAATTTCCTGCGGTGACACTATTTGTGGATGGTGTGACCTACGAACCCTACTTGGTGACGGATGACTGGCCGATCCACGCCTCAAAGATTGATACACAGCTGACTGTGGGTGCCTGCTGGCAAGGTCAGTGTGTGTCTGTTTATAAATATTGTAGCTTCAGCGCAATGCAGAAAAGTGTTCAAGATATAAAGGAAGCTGAAATCAGACTAGGCTTGGATGCAAGTGCTCTAACATTATGTTGTCGGATTGTTTACAGCTCTGCTATAATCTTACAGTTTTACGTGCAGCAGCCTTTTCAGCTCCAGGTTATGGCGCTTATTTATTTCCTGCACATAAAATTAGGAATTCAGTTCCTATGGGTCTATTTTCAACAAAAGGAGCCACATCAGTACATTTTTATCACTTAATTTAAAACCACAGTTTTTTTTCTCTTATATAATTGGGTTATGACTGCACATTGACAGTTACAACTGCTTCAGTGTTTTTGTTTATACCATATATCAACAGATAATTTTTCCCTATGCATAAAAACAGCATTCTGCTCCTGAATATCATAAGGTAACCTCTTCTGGAGGTGTCACTCTGGCCCGGGGATGGCCATGTTAAATGTCACTATAAATTAACCGACCATGTATCCATCCGCCCATATGTCCATTTTGTTCCACTTATCCAAGGTGAAAAACCTGCTGTTGCAATATTCCAAGAGGAACAGCTCAACGTGATGGTGATATGTGGTAAACACAGAGAATTCATCAACAATGACACACGTTTTTTTTCCAAATCAAATTTGAAGCACAAACAGAAAGGAAGAAACCAGGAGACTCACTGTGAAGATAAATAAAGAGATTAACATTTACACCCAAGGGCTCCTAGTGCTGCTTCCTCTTTGAAATGGAGAGCCTTGAGCTGAGTGGGTATCAAACTGGAAATTCTGTGTCAGCTCCAGCGGCAGGGAACGAGAGCGAGAGGTGATCACATTGGAATGAATACGCGCTACCCTGCTGCCATGTTTACGAGTTGAATAATTACAGAAAAGTGTTGTGCGGCTTGCGTAAATAATGCTTCTAACGCTCGCCAGCATCATCAAAAAGCCTCAATACTGCTGTTATTTTGGTTGCTGTTTTGAAATTTCTTTTCATCCAGTGCCTGATTGCAATTCTCTTTTTGTCGTCATCACTTTCTTTCTTGCTTCATCCGACCCTCTCTTTCTGCCTCTTCTATGAATATCTGATTGAGAGAGAAAGCCCTGAAGGAAGGATTAGCCAGAGTGAATGGAGGACAACTTTGCCAGCTATTACATCCCAATGAAGCCGCTCTAAGCTTCACTAAGCCGCAACTGATAACTTTGCAGGCCATTAGCGAGCAAGATTGCCTTTCAGTCTCTCATTTCTCCATCCCCTTTTCTCTACAATCAACAACATAATGATGAGACATGTGGAACGAAAGGCATTCAGACTGTACTTTCACTGCCCTGAAAGCAAGAGGAAGGCGCATGTGCTCGCCATACAAGGTTAACATGAAAATGGTTCGGTTGTTTGTTGTTGGCTTCTCTCAGCGGTTTTCTGTAGGGGTAAGCTGCTGATGTGTTTGAACGGGGGAAATTGTGTTTGCTTTCTCATTTCGTTTGTAGCAGAAAGGTGGGTGTGAACTTTCAAAAGAACCCAACAGAGTATACATGTTTAACCAAAGAAGAGGAGGCGCAGAGGAGGCTTCAAAAAGAGTGTGGGGTGATTGTATGTGTACGAAATGAATGCATCATCAGGAACTTCAATTTGCAGATGATGTCGACGGTTTTTAGTCCAGCAAACAGCGATACAAGAATAGACGGACCCATTGAATACATCACTAAACAACCATAAGTATAAACATTATTTGTTGGTTAAATTGATGGTGATCCATTAGAGCTTTTCTCATTATAACTCTATAGTAATTAAGTCTCTGTTTCTAGTAAGTGTTAAAAGTCACACCAGTGAACAAGCCATGAACAATAAAGGGGCCAAGAAACTGAATAGCTTCAGGAAAGGCAGCCGTTATTATTGCCACAGTGTCTGATAGTTAAGAAGGAAAACATGCGTAAACAGGATCCAATGGTCTGAGCACAAACTGGAGTCTTTGGGCCTTTTTCTGAGAGATTTAAATCCTAAATATTTTATAAGAAACGTTTAAAGGACACAGATAAAAAAAAAGATGTTTGTGTGAAAATGTATTTATACATAAGTATCTCATAAATATTTGTCTCCTGAACATAACTTTTATTTTTTCATCAAGATCCATTAATTATTCTCTAAGAAATCATGGTGAAAAGTTTGGAAAAGTCCTCTCACAATGTTAAAGAACAATAATGTGATTTTTATGAGGTCTTATTTTTTTGAGTAGACACATAATATATCTCATATATCTTACATTTAGCCCCAGTTCTAATACACTTTCTTCAAGTCATTTTCAAGTCACTTTGGTTTTGGTTATTAAAAGATAGCAAACCATTTTTCTTTGTTTGTTGTTTGTCATGCGATTGGGTATGATAACCACGTCCACACCACCCTTTGTTTTATCTCCAATAAAAGCCCACGCTACAGAAAATGTCCTTGCAACCAATGTGGACATAAAACTGTTCTTGCAGGGTTGCTACCACAGCTCTGTTATTGGTTTATAATGTAGTCCTATATTGAAGTGCTACACTAAAATGCAACCTCAGCATTTTAGTATTTGATTACTGACAACACTCACCAGTGTGGTTGATAATATCCTCTGGTTGTGATCTGGAAGTCAAATATTGTCTGTGAAGTGTAATTCACAGACAATATTAAAAAAGTATCAGGGCTTTGCGATGACCATTTGATCTTGTGTAGCAGATTAAAAGGTTTTTCTTGTCACGCAGCTTTGTTGGTGAAGCAACTTTGCACGTGCAAGTCCCTTCATGTTACTTTATTGCAGCTTTAAATATGAAGAAACAACCTGATTTACATTAACTACCCTCCAATTCAACGATATATTAAACATCACATCGGTATGCCAGCTTCATATGTTTTAAAGGTTAATGCATAGCATATGTTGTACATCTAGAGGGACTACATCCCAACGTTATGCTCTCATTCACCACTGTTGCTAGCCTCCACCCACTTTAAGATAAACACAGTATGAAAATGGGTTGTTTATAATACACATGTTACGTCTCCTGCTTTCTCTATACATCTATACGTCCTTGTGTGATTCACATTGAAAGAGCTGAGAGAGTTTAAACACTTTCAGGCACACTGGTATCTGCTCATAATAACATCTGTCATTATCTATTGTTCCCCCAGGCCTCTCTGTGCAGAGTTGTTCTATACCAGGAGAGCATCACGTCTGTTAACTGTCTGTCTGTCATTTTATAATACTGGTCTTTGTATGCAGGAGGTTAACAAGTTGTCTTTTGAGAAACAATTAAAACATTATTAATATTATTAATAATAATATTCTTATGATTCGTTTCAGAATCGAATATTTCATATAACCAAAAAATCACAATAAGAAATACCCGTTGTTGTGAAAAGAACGTGTGTTCAAAAATCAAACAGTTTCACACTAACATTATGCCACTGTGAGACATATCTATATATATACTGTATTAAATGGCGCATTCATATATATACAACACAGTTTAGAATATAAATATTGGCTGAGGTACTGTCAGTTCTGATGTCATTTGCATTTCCATAAGGAGACTTGATCTGAATGCCACCCCTCACTAGAATTTGTCAAAAATATTTAAGCCATAGCTGACCTACATTGAAAAGACTCGCACTGGAAGTAATTTGTGTTAAGTGGGCTCAGACCTTTATGATTTGATGGAAATGACACACTTCATCAGAAGTGGTGAAATTGCACCACAGAGTAGAGCTGACCTGTCCCCGAGCGAAACCTGATGTTTGGAAGTAAAATGAAGACTCATAGGAAGACGTCAGGGTTTGACTGAATCTGTGATGGAGCTGACACCATGGACTGCAGTGCTGTGAATCTTCACAGATTTAGAGACTGTGGAAATGTATTGACCCTCAGCGGAGGTTCCGTTAATTTAGTAAAAAAGGATCCATTTCATGTCAGTTGTAAACCCTGACAAGTGTCAGAATATCTACTGTTGAGCTAAGTGTTGGAAGTGTTTAGTATAGATTTGACTTTAGTATTGCAGATTAACTAATGTTCCTGTCATGGCACCTATTCTAAGGTAGATTTTTGTCGATTGTTTTCTCTAACAATATTATGCAGTTATACCTTTTTCTGTAGGAGTGTTCTGTTATGCTGTTGTTGTCATTGCTATTGCAGTGCTTGCACAGCACATATTGTAAAATTCCCCCTTAAAATACCAAGTAATTCACAATCTATTTGTTTCATTTTATTTCAGACATAAAACAATCTCACATGTTGTTTTAGTGAACTAAATATTGGCTGCAGGCAGTGGCTGAGTGTTAGTTAAAGCTTACGTCAGGACAAAGAAAAAAACAGTTATCTCCACCAATAACACAATCAACCTAATTCATTAATTATCCAAAGACTGATAAAGTTATTGATGCCTCACTTAATGTTCATCGTCCATGGAGGGTTCAACTTGGCACTGTCCGCTAATGTTAGCCTGCAGCACTAGTGTCTCATTTCACATCACAAAAATTGCAGTGAGTTTTGTGAGTGTGTTTTAAAAAGTTTAACCACCGACATGCTTATTTCCTTAACCTGTAGTAAACAGTTTTATATTCACAACCTAAACTATGTTAAGTGAAAAAAGTAATATCTGTCTTTATATTATTGAGGTGAATAAGAGTATTTTTAACTTGGTTTACATTGGTTTCAGATTCACAGATGTCATATCCAGCAAACTGTAGCAACACACATTATACATAATATTCTCTCTTATACTCAATCTGTTTCTATCCAATTGTCCTTTGCCACCCCACTTTTTAATTCTCCTCTCCTGCTTTCCACATCTTTCTGTCCTCGCTCTTCTCCTCTCCTCCCCAACCTTAGGTGGAGAGGTAGCCACCCCCAGGTTCACTCAGTATTTCCATGGCAGCCTGTCAGGTCTGACGATCCGACCAGGCCGGATTGAAACCCAGAAGGTTATCTCGTGTTTGCAGGCGTGTAAAGAAGGACTTGATATCAACTCCCTCGAGAGCCTGGCTAAGGACATAAAGGTTTGTTGAAAAAAAGGAGACTGGGTTACCAATATAGACACACACACACACTTTCAGTCTCAGATTGGTTGTATTGTAACTTCCTACCATCCTATTGGCACTGTTGAAGAAGACAGCGTATTCTCTTCAGGATTCATGTGCCACCTTCTATCACGTTGAAGCTGTCAAGACTGTTGTCGTTTGCTAAGATGCTTTTCTGTAACAAACATTTCCTCATTAAACCAAGATATCATAAATCAAGTTGAGTTGAATGAACACAGCTTATTGTGTTTGTGTGTGTGTGTCCAGTTCCATTTCAACCCTGCCCAGTCTGTGCTGGTAGTGGAAGGAGAGGATGTGGACAGCATCAACACAGCCATGACCAAGGTCTCCTACATCAACTCTCGCCAGTTCCCCACCGCAGGCCTCCGACGGCTACACATCACCACCACAGTACAGTGAGTACACATACTGTATATTTGGATGACGCACCATCTAATACACCCAATCCAGCTACATCCACATGTTCACATCTGCCCAATTAAAAGTCGAGCAGTTGTGTTCAGTATCACAGATTTTCTGTTTTTCCAATGTTTATATCAGATTCAGAAATGAATCCCTTCACCTAGGAGAGAAATCACCAACACAACCAACTACTACTTTGTTGGACTTTGTTGTCACTTGTTGACACTTAGTGAGGCCCCTATTGTATTTACAGCAAGTAAATACAGTAGTATTTTCAACTACTACAATAAACCAGCAGAACAAGCAGAGTGTGTGTGTGTACGCTGATTGTGTATATGTACCTTGATTCTGTGCAAGTTATGTCTCTCTGGTTTTTCATTACCATGCTGTACAATAACTAAGGTGTATGTGCTTTAACAAACAACACATTTCATTATCACCTTTGCTTCATGCATTCAGTTGGCCGTTGTGAGGTACAGGGATTTATTTGATGTACCAAACAGCTTCGTATTTAATGTGTCATGAAGGTCCATCTGTTTTATTTCTTTCTGTGACAGATGGAGAAAACTACTAATGATGTGAATGTACTAGTTTCCAATTCTAAATTTTGATTCCAAACAACACACATCTTGCTGAAGGACGAAGAATGAGTTTTCACGTTGTTGAATAAAGTGCCGGTTCTCTTAACTGTCCCTTCAACTAAAGTGTGAAATGTGATATACATAAACCAACTTGGTGACAGAGGAGAGGTGGATGATCACATTAGGTACAAACAGCTGGAGGATTGGTGGTTGGCGCAGTAAAGGAAAAGCTCTGTCGGGTGTGTTGTGTCTGAGTTTGTCTTTAAGCCACAGAACTCCCAGTGAGGATGGATCATTAGAGTAAAAACTATTAAACCTCTAAACAGAGCATCTGGCCATTAAGGACATTCAACGTGCTGCTGATTGAAACACCCCATATTGCTCCAGTCCTTGTCTGCTTTCTCCATCTCTCTTTCTCATGTGTGTGTCTATTTATATATTCAAATCTTAATTTGATTTAATTCCACTTGATCCATTTTTCCCAATGGTTGCAGGTCTCAAGGATGATGTAGTTGTTTTGCCAGATTGTTCTGTTATTTTTTCTAAAATCAAATATCTTGACAACTGCGTAAATTCTTGAATCTACATTTGAAAAATAACCGAAAGAATCTGTGTCTTGTCGTGTCCTGGTAGTTGATATTGATAATAATGACTATAATAACTTTATTTATAGAGCTTTTTTAACAGTGCAACACAACAACAAAGCAAATGGTTAAATGGTTCTCTAATGCTAGTTACGGGAAATATGAAAATCTAATGGCAATGCAATAATAAATGATCTAACCATATACCATGCTTTATTGTACAGCAGGAGTGGTTATTTTCTTCTTTATGACAAGATATAAACATACTGTTAATCATGCACCAACTTAGTAAACACAGCACCTTTAACACTGGAGTGAGAGAAATTGTGAAATGTTTCATCCCACTCAACCATTATATTTGAGAACTTGTACTCAGTGTCTTTGAGCTTAGTTATTGTCCATGATGACTTATTGTTAAGCTGTTAAATTGTTAAACTGTTAATTGATTGGACATCATGGACATGTAATATATTCATTTCTTTCTTAAATGCTTTACTAAATGATTTGATTGAAAGTAATAAGTAGTTTAGCTTTGGTGTTACTCCTCAAAGCTTTCAGCTGCATCACACTGAATGTAACAGTCTCAATTACATCTGTGTGTGTGTGTGTGTCTGCTTCCCCTCACATTTAAAAAGTAATTGTTTGTCTTCACACAAGTTTGTGTTAAGTTGTGTTCCATTTGTGTGTGTATATATTTTTGTGTGTGTGTGTGTGTGTGCTTATTCACATGTCTCACAGTGTCTACGTTTAACGTCTGCTCCACACACACGTCCAGAGCCTGTTCATTTTGTAGAGCAACAAACACAGGCAGGTGAAATCAGCTTAGTTGTGCGCTGGTCGATAAAGTGAAACGAGCTGAAGGGGCAGCGGTGGAGTCTAACTCTGAACAACACTTCACAGCTGCCCCTGGAGATAAAGACTGACGATCCACCTTTACACTCAGCACATACAGTCTGTTTAATCTGAGGAAAAGGAGATAATATGTTGTCCTATTACACATTGTGGATCCTTTTTTAATCTCTGTTATGTGATATTAGTCTGGTCTTGTTGGATTATTTATATAATACAAAACAACCCGAATCAACATATCCCACATGGCTCGAGACAAACTTCTGTTTGTAATATCCAAACAGAATATACCTGTATGAAATTGTGAATATTGTCATAGTTGCATGTAAACCTATTCTTTATGCTCAGAAGTTATAATTATTTACAACACTTTTTTCAGTTATAGAGATTAATCCATAATGTATACATAGTTGTTTCTAAGTTTGGACAGTTTGTGGACAATATATTCAAGTGAGAACTACTGTGGCTCATTAATTTTACCAGTTTATTCACCAGAGTGAATGAAACCAAAAAGCCCCTTCATCATATGAATAAATTAATGTGTTTGTCCTCATCGGACGTCTTGTTATGAGCATTGATGAAGTTAGAGAGAGTTTTGGTTGTTTCACATGAGAGATGTTTCTATTTTCATCCCTGCTCTTCTTACTGCTCTGTAGTGGCCAGTTGAAATGTATATTACAGCAGCAGAACACAGTTAGAATTTGGCGCCGAGGCTCCGACCACATCTCTGACCCCCAGATATGACAGATAGATATAATGGAGAGTGATGAACAAATATCTTCAACCATGCTGTCGGAGCCAGCAGGTGGGGCAGTGATACTGACACAGAGCAGCAGAGGCACTGACAAGCAAAGGGAGAGATAGGAAATGTTTGAGCTTAAATAGACCTCCAAACAAACTTCAACCTTTTTTTTGTGTTTTTGTTGCTCATGTATTCATTTATTTAATCATATATTTAATCCAAGAGATTTAAAACAAAGTCTTCAGGGGCTTCAACACATTCTGTCTGTGCTTGTTGTTACTTAGTAGTTTATTACATGAATAACATGAAAGATAAACACACAGAACAAGAAGTAGAATGGTATAAAACATATATTGTGCAGTAGTCAGACTTCTCTTTTATACCATTGGAGAGAAGATGGAGGCGCACTGTGATTTGCTCTCAAACAAGAATCACATCTCAACACCTATACAACCAATTAGCATTACATGAACACTATATGAGAGAAAAATCCTTCTTCGTATGAAAATACAAAACATGTGGTTTACATCTTACATTCTTCAGCTAAATTAACCACAACTGGTTTATAAACAAACTGATGAAAGACACATAATAGTAACAGAGTTGGATATTTGTGTCTCAACCACATCAAATTTAACATGACACAAATGTAGCTAAATGAAGACAAATACATTAGAAGTGAAGAAGTGACCTCTGTTCTCGTCTCTGTGTGTCAGGTGTTTCGGGGAGGACACATGTCTCTCCATCCCGGACGTCAAGGCAGTGGTTATGGTGCTGCCGCCCAGTGAACCGAGAATCACAATTACAGGATCTAATCGACTCGTCAGGCCTGCCGCTGACCTGCAGGGCCCGCTGGGTGTGGCTCCCTTCAAAGAGCTTCACATCACCAGCACAGTAATGAAGGGAGGCAGCCTCGGTGGATGTGAGTGGAGAGGCTGCGGCACCGGCTTGTTACGATGCTCTCATGTCATAATAGAAATGTTATATTGTTCCAGTTAATGGGTTTTGAAATTGCTGTTAATGTACAAATGTACTCTTCGTGAAAAGTTTTTACGGCACAATAAAATCCATTTTGCACATATTTGCACACAGTCCGTAGGCTGGGTGTGATGGAGGTGATGCACAACCTGGACTACTGTGACATCCTGGTCATTGGAGAAGAACTGAGCCCCGAGAGAGAGAGTCTGGAGATTCATCACAGTGCTTTGGTGGGAAAACATCTGGACGCCACCAACTCCACCTCTGGAATTTCAATATATGGTAGAAAAGTTACACGCTCATTTTACTGTACATGTGTGCACCACATTTTCACTCTGTGAGTTACACCAACATGGCAGTTTGTGTAGCAGTCAGTACAACATGTTCCCCTGTGTGTGACAAGGTGTGGACTCCATGGCTCACTATGAGCAGGCGCTGAGGCAGGTGCGCTACAGGAACTGGCAACCTGCCACTCTGACCGAGCGACGGTTCAGACTCACCTGCTCCGAACTCAACGGACGTTACACCAGCAACGAGTTCAACTTGGAGGTCAGATTGATGATCTTACCTTTTCCTCGTGCACTGTTTATTTCTCCATTCGATGTTTTCTTGTTTCTCTTATTCATTTTCTTTTTAACTCATATTTCGCGATGGCCCAAATTCACCCACCCTCTGTTTTTCCGTGACGCTGCAGGTCAGTGTTCTCCACCACTCGGCGCCTGTGGAACATGTCAATCATATGGCAGCCCAGCCTCCGTACATGAGGCCTGTCCATCACCCACTCATGATACACACGCTCAACTCACACTTGTCAGGTAAGTAAAGTGACTGAAGCAGGTGCCACTGTCTTTTCTGTGACTCGGCTAAACAACAGGGCAGTATTTATGTTTGACAAACTGTTATTTGTAATTGAAAACAAAAGCAAAATGAAGAGACAACACCTGTAAATACATTAATGGGACAAACTGTTTCAACACCAAATCTAAGCTGTGGAATTTGAGGGTTAAAATGTATTGTTGAATTGGTAACCATAACAAAATTAGGATTACAGCTGTAAGAGATAAAATTCTATTTGAGGCTTAAGCCAAAAGATTGTACATTGAAAATAGGGCATTAGGAGAACAGCTTCATTATCTAATACTTGAATGGCACTCAGTAGAGCACATCTTTGCACAGAATTTTGCAATTATCCATTTGGTTGTGTTTTGTAATCCTGCTGACAAATGGACAGACAAACAAATGCAGATGAAAACATTACTTATTGGCGAACGTAAAAATAAACAGAGACCTTTTACTTCTCTTCTTCTCGTCCAGGAACAGCGCCACCAGCAGCCACAGCAGTGATCGTGGTTTGCATCGCCGCCCTGGTCGTGATTGTGGTGATTGGGGTGTACAGGATCCACACCACACATCAGGAGGGGTCCAGAGAGGACGAGGACGAGGTCAAGGACCCTGAGGTGGACTGGGACAACTCTGCCCTCAACATCACCGTCAACCCCATGGAGGTAACTCATAACATTTTTTGGCTGTTTCCTTTATTGTCTTTCCAATGGACCATGTCACGGAAACGTTCCTGACATGTTTCCCTCTGATTTTTCTTAACTCACTGGAATCTGTTGCAAGTTGCGTTAACCAGATTTAGGATTTGTAACTAAATCACTCTGTTCTCTAGAACATGAGAGGAGCTCAGGCTCTGGATGAGGAGGTAAAAGAAGAGAAGCGGGAGGAGGTGGAGGAAGAGGAAGAGGAAGAACAAGGATTGACGAGTGCTGAGTCAGACAACAGTGATGACGATGAAGAGGAGGAAGAGAGAGAGGAGATGAAGAAGAGGAAGCAGAGGGGAAGACTTGAGTGGGACAGTTCCTCAATAACATACTGACCACACACATGCATAAATATATAACTAAACTACACAACAGTCTCTGCAAGTGTGTCGCTCCAGTTATTTTTTAATGAAACATCTCCCTCTGCTGGACAAAGTCAGAAGTACAGAATCAGCTGCTGCCTCTCAGCATTTGTATGCACATTAATTAAGATTCACGTCACAGTCAGTGAGACAGAAAAAAATACATCAAACAAGCACAGCTCTTCAGTATGTGTGCAGAATTAGTCAGATAAGATTGAACCTCAAACTCTGAAGAGTGAAATCTGAAAAATGGCTACACAAGGAGGATTCAAGCTTTTATCTCCGCATTTAATATTTACACTTACGTGTGTCCTCAGATTCGTTTTGCATTGTTTCCTCTTTAAAGAGTTTGTCTGCAAGATGGTGAGTTATTAACAGATTTAACAACGAGACGTATCCCCATACATACCCATTAATAAATGTATCCATAAAACCTTTTTAATAGAATTCCTTCAGCCTATTTAGTCTAAATAGAATAGCTGTAATGTCACTAAGTGTGTAACCTCTGTTCTCATCATTAACTCAACATCTGTAACACTTTTCTGTCTTTAACATGTGTGTGATCAGTGCTGAGTTTCACCAAACACATCACAGTGCTGTGGTTCTGTGGCCTGGAGACCAGAGAGAAATCTTCTTCTGCTTTTACCTAAATATTCCACATTAATCCTGATTTACACACAAGTCAAAGATGAATTATTATCTGTTTAACCTAGATTTTAGTTTTGGTTTCAAAATAATTTATTTTCTGTCTGTTCAGAGCCGATTGACAAAGTTGATTGTGGGTAAACTACTCTCAGAGACAGAGCTGATGTCCTTCAGAGCCTGTTTGCATTTGTGTCCTGTACCATTTTCACACAGTGGCCTCATATAGGGTGAGATCGCTTATCTTTCTTTTTTCAGCAGATGAAATTATGGAGTTGTTGCTATTTACTATTGAAATCTGCTTTTTCATATTTATTTTTCTTTCCATTTAAACAAAGTCTTCTATGCAGTTAAAGGTCCAGTAAAACCAGTACAGACCCTGACAGTCCAACATTTAGACGTGTGAGAGAATCAGTGCAGTGAAGGATGAGATATCCTGACCGGACTTTTGTTGCCCAGTATCGGTCAATCTCAAAAATATGCCCGATCTTACACTACCCATAATGCATGTCAGATGGACATCCCTGTAGCTTAAAATCTCAGTATAGTGCAGACCTGTAGCAGAGCAGAGATGATGTGGCTTCTTAATGTGACTTGGCAAAGTTCCTCTTTTTATCATGGACAGATTTTCATGACCATGGGGCACAAACCACCACCCACATAACCACAAAGGCCAGGAAACCATGCAGCATATATCACTTTGAAATTATATTTATTATTTTGACATGTTAAGACAACAGGAAGTGTCGATATAGTTTTAACACAATGAAAATGTAACATGATTTAGTTTAATTTACCAAACATTCAAAGGATTTCATAATCATGCAAGATTTCATCCCATATTTAAAGAAGTAAAAATACTTCACAAATCTTACAGCCAAGGGACTCCATTGGCTCCAAGACCAATTACGATAGTCTATATCATGAACCCCACAAATTCAGAGCCTTATTTTCCTCTTTTTGCTGCTGATTTGCAGATTGTTACCATGGAAAGGTCTGAGGGGAGTTAATGTTTGAGGTTTGAAATAGTCGGACGGATCTGTCTGACAGAGTGTGAATCAGAGGAACTTTGCTAAATGTTGCTGGAGAAAGACGCTGAGTGATTGTTTGTTTTACTGGTGTCCTCAGAACTTCCCAGAACCATAAGCAGAAATTTCACTCATACTGATTCCATCTTGTACCATTTATTTTAACAGATTTAATCCCATGAGTGTGTCTTCATCCAGATGATTGGAAAGTTCATGCCTCTCCATGTCGGTATCATCCCTCTGAGCTCTCTCTCTCTCTCTCTCTCTAACTGGTTCTTTGTCTCCTCCCTCCCTCTGTTGGCCTTTGAGAACCTGTGGTTGTGATGTCATCATTGTGAAACAACTGCCTTGCTCCCTTTGTCATATTGTGCTTCTGAAAGATTAACAAGAAAAAAAAGATTCTTTTACATATAAAAACAAACCCTGTAAAAATGTTCAAGACAGTTATTTTATATATCCGTTTCTTTTTCTTTTTGTAAACAAAATGGTTGGGATCTCTCTCTCTTTAGTGGTCATCCCACTGCTTTCTGTATATTGACCAATAAAGACTTGTTTTAGACTCTACAGCTGCTCTCGCTCTTGTTTGTACAATAGACGTCTGAAACGACTCACGATAAATTACATAATTAATAAACTGTCATCTGGCGAGCTGCCTAGATTCATCTCATGTTTGAGCTGACTGGGTTTTACATAATGAGCTCACACAGACAGAGAGTGGACTGATATCCATGACATCCCTGCATTTGTTCACACTGTTTGTTTTTCTGGGCCAAAAGACTGAAATATTTATACAACAGTTTATGAGAAATTCATATTTGAAGCCTCATTGTGCCTAATGTCGCAGCCAAAGACAAAACAGGTAAAAGAACATTTTCTAAACCATTTAACAAAATGTTTTCTGCCGTGTCTGTTCTGTTGTACAACTGAGCACCAGTCTCTTCTGTGTACTTACATTTGGCTTCTCTGTAAAACCTTTATGAGAGCAGTAAAAACACGCCGCTACAAAGGGAAATCTGCGTGAGCATGAAATTAGCTGTTTGAACATGAAGGTCGACACTTTCCAAAGGATCCCAAAATAGTTCTGAGGTTAGAGTTATACAGAAAGAAGTCAGAGAATTAAAAAAAAAAAACCATTTTAATCAGGAGAGACTTTAGATGAAAATAGTACAACATTCATTGCTGTGCACAGTAAGAAGAAAGTGATGTGATATTAATGAGAGCCCATGTGGCAGTTAGATCCCTTGTGACGTCATCAAGGTTGAAAGTGGGCGTCATAGAGAAAGTCTTCCTGATTAAACTTATGCTAAAGTTATTTTCTGTTGAACATATTTACATATTTTTCCTAACTTTCCTTAGTGGAAAATACAAAGTGTGTGCAGTANCAAATGCAGAAAAACCCCCAAACAATATTAAAATAAATAACAAATCTCCTTAAGTCATGAAAAGATCAATATCAGTTTTTATTGATATTAAACATATGAAAGTGAATAAATCAAAGAGTGGATCAGCTTCATGAACAGGGTGTCCTGGGTGAGAAAATAATATCTCAGAATAAATCTGAGAACCAGTAATAATCAGAATAATCAGAAGAAGCAGCAGCAGCAGGCCTCGCCTCATGGTCTCCTGACTGCAGACACGTGAGGTTACAGCTGCAGCACCAGATTGATTTCACACCAGCAGGTGTATTGATCTTTGATAAACTGATCTTTTTATTTCAGATTTTTATCTGTTTTGTTCTGGAACATTTTACCCTGAACAAGCAGCATTTAATAATACTTTAAACGGTTTATAGTTGTCAGCAGATATAAGGATATTTTAGTCATATTTAAGTGTATTGTAATTATAATCTAATTTTTTTACTATGTTCTTTATTGATTTATCTATAAAACCTCAAACCCTCATAATTTATAAAGTTTTTTTTAACAGTTTATAACACACAGGCAGAATATTTATGTTTATTGGTGTTAAGTTTTCTATTTTAATTTAAACCTTATGAAGAAATATACAGTAATATTTTGTATTTTACAAAATGATTATTGATAATCTGTGTGAACACCACCACCAGCCAGTGACAGGAGGAGCTGTGCAGCAGTGTTTGGGATATATTAACTCTTTGATTTTAATATAATCACATTTATTGAATAAAGTAAATGTGTTAAGGAAACATGAAAGGCTGTGGAATTCATTTTAGAAGCTTCTCGGCCTAAAACAAAGGTGAATGATTTTCAACATCTCTTCACGCTGCTGCATTTCTCACCTTCAGTGTTCGACGATTTTTCAGCATAAACGCAGAGGACAAAAAAACAGTTAAAAAATCTTTCAGAAACAAACGAGTTGTGGGATTTGACTATGAGGAACTAACAGGTTTTATATAAACTCATGCAGTATTGAATTATTTGCATTTCATGATGTAACACAATGTAAGAATGTGGTGAGTCCTGTCATGAGGAAAATAATTCATTCTCAACTGTGAGTGTCTACAGAATTTGTCACTGGTGATGTGACTGAATGTTATGGTTTATATTTAAAATGTGTGCGTGTGTGTGTGTGTGTGTGTGTGCGTCAATGCTCAGTCAGAACAATCATTTAAATTTCTAACATCCTATAATATTTGATGTGACAGTATGACTTCACTATTGTCTCTTCTCTGCTGTATATAATCCACACACAACAAACTGCAGTGATCAGTATTTCTCTTAAAGAACTGTTCTGACTGTCAAACGTCACATCACAGACATTTGATGTAAAGGAATTCAGCTGTTAACTGACTTTCTCTGGGTTCATCTCTTAAATCATTGGACTTTTCACTTCTCAGACCTTGTGCACTTGAAGTGTTGCAGCTCTGCTCACAGCAGCACTGAGTATTCATGACGACACCGTGCAGCCCCCCCGAGGACGTGAGAAATACAATCAGCTAATAAGCAGCTTATTGGCCCTTTTCACTGATGAGCGCTGCATGTTCAATAACACTCTAATGGACCCGATGTGACTAACTGCTAATAACGTGGTTCAGCTTTTTACTTGACTGGTTTTCTTAGGTTGTAGAATCTCCTTCTTTTAATCTCGTATTATTCTTTTCTTCTTTATTGTATTTAACCAATTAGGATCCAATCAGGATGTTTCCCTGCATCTTCACAGCATCAAATAACTCATCAAACAAACTTTTCAGGAATATGAACGTTTGAACTGACTGAATGTTGATCCGTGTGTTAAGTACCACCTCAAAGGATAGAAATCATCTTTGAAAAAATTTACTTTTACTTTTTAGTTTGCTCCATGTCCCATCTCCTAACAAGGAGGAGGGGGGATTTTTTTTTACCTAACTGCAGTCAGCCACCAGGGGGCAATAGTGACTCTTTGGCTTTGGGGAGACATCATATCATCCATCATACAGTCTATGTATTTGTTAGTTTGTTTCTCTCTGTGAGTCAGAACTCATGACTCATAAAGAAATACTACAGGACATCACTGATGATTATTATCCACTTTTCCAAATCATTTGTTCATCAGTAACACTGTGTTTTTTATCATGGTCTTTATTTCCACTGTGAAGGCAAACTGCTCGTCCCCAGAGAGAAGTGTGTTGTGTTGTGGACCCTTTCACACCTCAGCTTCCTGTTAAGTCCCAGAATAGAAACTCAAGTGCTGCTTTGGAGCCTTTTGGCAAATGTTTGAAATGAAGCAAATGCAACAGCAGTGTGTGTGTGTGTGTGTGTGTGTGTGTGTGTGTGTGTGGGTGTGTGTGTGTGTGTGTGTGTGGGTGTGCGCATCATTTGGACATATAGAGAAACAAACAGTGTTTTCCTTCGGTCTCTGAGGTATTTTACAGATTTGAGATTTTCATAGATTACACATTATAATTACACAAATTGTACTGTTACGTTTTCGGTGGTGAAAATTTAATTTAAAAGCACGATCAAGCTGCTGGAAACTAACTTGCACTTAAGTATTTCAATTTGCTGCTTCTTAAATAATGTATTTTTTACTCCACTACATTTACCTGATATACACTTTGTTCATATACAACATACAATAATACACTCTAGGTATAATTAGCTCTTCTTCAATGTTGACATTTCTCTATTAATGCACCTGCAATAATAATCCAATAATATCGAAGAAATTACAACATTTGTTGATTATCTATCATGAATACTTGATAGATAATTAGACTAGTTTTGGCATTATTTACATTAAATATGCAAATTGTGTAAATATAAAAAACTAATCATTCTGCTGATAATATAAAACTATGAAAAGTCAGCTGTTGAAAAGGACTTTAAAGGTTCAGTGTGTAGAATTTAGTGACATCTAGTGGTGAAGTTGCATGTTGCAGCTGAATACCAATCACCTCACACTCCCCTTCCAAACATGAAGGAGAACCTGTGGTAGCCTTCAGTAATAAAAACTCAAAAGGTGTTTAGTTTGTCCAATTTGGACGACTATAAAAATCATGGCAGCCTCTGTAGAGATGATGTAAATATAAAGTATTTAAATATAAAGGGCCCATTCTAGGGTAAAGAAAACAACAATTCATACAATTTAGATGAAACGAACGAGTGAAAACATCATTAGGATCTTTTTATATATTACATTTCTGCTAATAGATCCCTTTCACCTAAATCTAACACACTGAACCATTAACTTGTTAATTATGATGCAGAACCTTTACTATTTGAAGGATTTTCCACCTTTAAAAAGTTCTGGTTGAAGCGTTGCTCTTCTTACAGGTGTGAGACCTTATAAAAGAAGGAGAATAGTTTAAAAACGGGGAAAAGGTCACACAGTTTTATAATCTCCTTGGAGACAGTCATGATGTAGCACCTAGCGTTCACATGACAAATGACAGGAATGCTGGTATTGGGAATTAAAAAAAGAGGGATTTATTGTCAATCTACAACAAGATCCAGGATCAATAATCTTTTGAGGGATGAAACACATTGTTCTCACCAGAACGTAATTTAAACCCTGATTCCCCCGATGGAGAAATGAGTTCCTCAGACGGTTCCTGTTCCCTTGGGAAAGCTCCTGCAGCGGAAACTCACCTCAGGAGAGACACACGTTTGAAACCAGCGTACTTTCTCACCTCTGACAGCTGATCAGTCACTGCAGGATCTGTGTGGGTGAGTTACTGACCTTAATTCAATGGGGGACAGACGTGTGGGGAGAAGGTTTCCTCATCCTCTAAGCACTTCTGATCAAGCTCATGAATGTTTCAGAGGTGAAACATGCACGTTCATTAACTCAGAGATTTTACAACATTGTTGGTGGGGGTGGACATGACAAGTGAAATGTCTCTTTCTTTGTGATTACATGGGATCTATAAAAACACAATATGTTTGATTCTAAAGATGTGCTTCATAGACCTTAACTGTTAAATGTGGAATAGTTGAGCCTAGAAATTAAACTAGAACCAAATTAAAATAGAACCTAAATGATGCAGACAGGAGGTTTCCTCAGTTTGTGAGAGGGTGGGACTGTTCTCTCACTGACCTCACATCCAGGAGGTATGCTTGTTTTATAAACCATTAGGATTAACTGTGGGACTGTTTTATTCTGCCCTGTTTTTTTTTGTTAGTTGGCAAAAACATCTCAACCGATTTCCATGAACTTTTTCGCACAGATCCACTTTTCTTTAATATTGTGAGATAAGGTGTTTTTAGTCATATTTTAAATGGTGATATTTAGAAGTGTGTGTATTTTGGTGCAGCTCCAAACAAAAATCTGGATGTAGTGAATTTAAATGAGGGGGCTGTTAGACTGTGTGATTTAAATTTTTGAGTATTTTCTTTCAGTATGTTGTTGTTGTTGTTGTGCTTTCCATTAGCCCCATTTTTATACATTTGGAAGTCACTGACTATTATCTGATGTTAATTGAAATTAATATGAAACTCATATTCCCATTCTCACAATGGATTTGTCAAACTGCGGTTTAAATTATATATAACTATAATTATGCTTTGTAAATAATACAGCTACCTGCTCTGTAAAACAAGCTTGGTTTGCGTTTGCAACCTTGTAAATGTTACTTAGAGAAGTCTTTACCTGGTGTAAAATAAATCAAGCTGTTTGTTGATCCGAGTCTCTGGTCCTGATAAATTGTGATTGTTTGATCTACAGTACAGTGTCTGGATTGTGAGGCTGTTGAGCTTCATTACATCGTCTGTCTGCTATTGATCTCTCAAACATCAGCCCCTTGTGTGTTTCAGATCTGGGTGAGCCAGACCTGATGTTGCTTTAGTGAACATCTGATCCCATGTTGTGCAGCAGAAACATGAAGTCTGAAAACTCAACAACGTCCGTGTTCTCACCCGTCTGCTCCCTGCAGTTTTTCCCTTTTAGACATCGAGTGCATCAATATGTCCCCGGCTGAGTGTGAGAGTGTGAGCTGGATTTACAGCTGCAGGAGCTGCTGGGCTGCAGGTTGGCTGTTTACTTTCCCAAGTGGAAACTGCACACTTGAAAATTGGGAGAACTTACAGCCAAATAGTTTACGGCCCAATTTTCCTTGCCAGTGGCTCCCTCTGTGGATAAAATGCTCCCTCAGACACTAGGTTCTGAAAGTGTGTCAACCCCAGATGAACCATCAGGGTGTTTTGCATCTTACTGCAGCTCTGTGAGTTGTTTCTAAGTGTCAGATGTATTTCTGGATAACTCCATCGTGTATATTATCCCCCACGGTCCTAAAAATCATCTGCTGTGGTGTTTTAAGACAAATGTCAAAGGGAAAGAAACACAAGGATAATTTTTTTCAAATTCACTTGGCTTTTTATTCACATTTCATATCAGCTGACGTCTCCACTGCACCGTCTGTCCATACATTCTACAACTTTTCTGAAATGGTCCTTCTTACGCTCTCTCCCATTCTAACTGATGGGAAAAGAGGTGGGACCACGGTCATCACAAATAATAACAATAAT